ACTTTTGTAATTGAAAGTATTAGATCTTTGTGGGGGTACAATAATTATTTCAGGACCAATTTTGACACAAACTTCGAGGACAGAAATGCCTATGTCACTGGAGTTTCCAAGTACATTGAAGAAGCTACTCGTCACGCCTTATTTGTATGTTTTTTCTGCACAACCTTACTCGAGCTGCTCTCATGGTCCGTCATTTAAAAGTTTTTTTTTCAGAATGACTTGTTAGCAGAAGGATTACAACATGCTGCAAATCTTTATACGTGGAGGTGTTGCTCACGAGCTGCTCCAACAGTCTGTTTGCACTCTGAAACCGTGCTTGAGGGATGTTTTAACAGATGTTTCAGGTGAAGTCGAATGATCAGCCAAATCGTGTTGAAATCAACATGAAAGTAGTGGAAGTTTTGAGGCCTGAAGTCGACAAGTTGCAGCAATTTATGCTGTTCACGGTGAGATATTGGTCGATATTATTTGTTGCATCTTGAGATCCGTAGAGTTTTTTTTTGCATTGTTAATTTCTCTCTTAGCAAGGTTCTCAGAATACCACATAAGGTGTATGCTAAAACTAAATGAAAGTGCTCTAGAATGACGCAATCTCACGTTTTTGCGAGGAAGTTCGACGTCTCTGTCACATAGAAAAGCGAAAAGTGAGCTCAGTTTATTTCTTTGGTGGTTTATGTAGTTAACACTACACTCATGCTTGTTTAGGATTTTGTCTCTGAAGCATATTTGTTGACGTTGGGCCGGTTTTTGAATATGTTCGCTGTGTTGGACGAATTGAAGAACATGAAGGCTTCCATTAAGAATGACTTCTCTGCCTTCCGGAGGTGAGTTGCTTTTTATCTGTGGATTCTGGTACTTTTCTCCATTTTTCATTATGTGTAAAAAAAAGATATATATTTTAGATCTGCTCAATTCCTTCAAGTGATGTCGGATACCCAGACAATTCACGATATGCAAAACCTGAGTATGTTTCTAGCTACACAAAACAAGATTAAAGGATGATATACGAGCAAAGATGATAAAGGTACACCGTCACCTTTGGTACCGATGCTGGTTTCTGGATGATTTTTCACGCATGTGTAAATTTAGATTGAAGCGTACGAAGAGCTGCTCGCTGACGTCATAAACATTTGTGCTCACATGTTTGAAAGCCACCTTTACCTTGCTCCGTCAGAGCGACATATGTTCGTTAAAGTTAGTATCCGGAAGTCTCCTTGATCTTCAGCCTTTAGAGTAACGGTCTTGTAAAGATTAGTTTCATTACAAACCAAAAGTTCAGGTAATTGCGTTCTCTCTC